TTTTTTTTTTGTTGTTTGGTTTTTTTTTTAAACAAACATTAATAGTTGGGAGCTCCTATGAAGCTGCCTAAAAGATCACAAGAATGCTGACTTTGAATAAAAGTCCTGAATTTACTTTGTTAATTTATTCTTAAGTTAACCTGATATTTATAGCAAAAACAGAATCTAAAGAATGATGGTTTTTCATGTATTTTCTGACAACCAGTGTACCTGAGGGTATATACACTTCAAGTCTAGATAAAGAACTGTGTGGTTTTTTGTTTTTTTTTTTTTTTTTTAAATCTCACTCTCTAGGAGAACGCTGTCTTTATAGATACCAAGAAAATGCCTACAATTAAGAAGAAGGTAAGGAAATTGGAGGACCAAGACGACTTTGAGTCTCGCTGGTAAGAACTTGAGTTAAATGGGCAAATTAAGACTTTTTTGTTGTTAGACTCAAGTTTGCAGTACACAGTCTGACTAACGGTACACTTAATGCATTCATTGCGTGGACAAACTGTGCTCTCCATTAGCCTGTGCCGCAGGAGAGAGCCAAGGTACAAGCAGGTTGGGGTTTTAAGGGGGAAGAGGAGACCTGTAGTTCTCGGTCACATCCTCATCGGCACCAGATGTTCCAGCGAGGTCCAGAGAGCTTCACTACAGGCTCCTCATTCCTGGCAATAAACAGTGCAGCTGTGGGTTAATATGTATCTTGGGTTTTTTCTGCCCGTTTGATAAAGTGAGACCTACCTTAATTCAAACAAATATTGATGACTAATAGCCTGTAATATGTTTCTACAACCTTGTAGCACTTTGCTTCTGTAAAGCAGTCTCCATTCAAATTTCTTTTTTAAGCTTATGGAAAGATGTAACCCACAACTTAAAAATTAGAGACATCGATGCAGCCACAGCTGCAAAGCATGCACTTGAAGAAAGACAAAGAGCTGAAGCCAGAGCCAGAAAGGAGAATGAGACCTCATGGGAAACAAGGGTGAGCTTTATTCGAACAGTGTAAATGCCCTCTAATCTGTAGCAGTTGTTCCTTTCCAATTGAGTTATAAAAAGCTTACATCTGATTATTCCCTTTTTTTCTAGTTATTCCATGAAGATGGAGAATGCTGGGTTTATGATGAGCCGCTACTGAAACGACTTGCTGCCAGTAAACATTAAGTAGGTTATAAAACCAGAAAACATTCAAGCCTTGGCTTAGCAAAGTTTACATCTGATACCAAGATAGTCATCAGTCATCACGTACGTACCGTTTGGAGAACCTGACCCCTCCAACTACAGTGGTTCCTATCTCAGGGATACTGGACTTACTGATGCAGATAAGCAATTAAATGAAACAAGAAACGTCTTGGCTGTGCAGTAACTGATGTTGGACTCCGCTATACTGGTAGTGTATTCAGGCTTCAAAGGCAGGCTGTTGGAGCCCTGTTACTGATGCTTCTAAAGCATGGAGAATCTGGGCCGTGAAGCATATACATTTTGTATAACCACTGTGAAGGCCATGGCATTGGTATCAGTTGCATAATATTCCCGGGTCCTACATATTTAAAAAAACAAGAAACAAAACGCAAGATGTCATTTAAATCTAGCTAATGTTTGCAATGTGTAAATACGAGGATTCCTTTGACGGAACAGTTTGTTAGAAAATGCTACGTAAATGTTATCTTCCACCTGTATGATAATCAAATCGTTTGGCATTTCAGTGTCTTGCCCAAAAAAACTTTGTTATTTTGAGATTAAAATGTAACCATAGATAATTCTACTTAATGCATCTTAAAGCTTCATAAAATAGATTTTTCAAACTTCTCTTATGGACTTTTTATTTATTTCATAATAAACCTTTGCAGCAAGACTGTTTTTTCAGCTGAGTGATGATCAATTGTTTTATGTGAAATGTATTAGTATTATTTTTTTCCCCACTGGAATCCTTGCAGCTAAACCTACTTCTTAAAGTAGTTATGAACTAGCAAAAGGAGCAGAATTTGCAGCACCCACACTAGAATTTTTCTGGAATCTACACTCAGCCTCACATCTCTACTAGCTTGCCAGCCCTTCAGGAATCTTTGCATTTCTGTGCTTTTGCTTGAAGTTAAATAATGGTTGAGTAAGTAAGTAGCTATAGGTAGCAATCAAACTCCACCACCCCCCCCCCGTTAAACCTAGCATTTATTAGACTTCATCTCAATTTTGTCTATGTTGCACATACAGAAAAATTTTAAAAAGCAGTGTGAGATTGAAGCCTTGGGCTTTTTTCCCCCCCACCCACTCTGTAACTCCTCCAGGAGAACTGCAGAATACTTTCTTTGAGGAGCTGTAACTGCTATTAAGCAACTGCTACAGCACTGCAGGAATGATACACAAGACTGAACAAAAGGGCGCAGCCCACCCCTTCAGACAGCGGGAGAGGAGAACGTGGCGTCTTTCTGGTTTGCTCCAGCTAGAAGTCAGGGCTGTGCCTATTCTTAATGAACTTGGGAGATTAGTGAGAAAGGTTGGCTGGAAACGTACTTGATGAAAGCTTCCCCAGTATCTGAATGGATATCTACATCCCAGCTAACACTGCAGCCCTGTTTTAATAAAAATAGATTTGTCATGTTTATGTTGCAGAAAGCACCTGTATTACACATCACTGCCGGGCACGATGTCAATTTTATTTTAATATTTTATGGTAAGGAAGAACATTCAGAGTTGATGTGTAAGCTTTGATGTCCTTGATGGAAGTAACATTAGTCATCAAAGAAGATGGGGGCAAGAAAATAAGATGAGGTATTTCTCCAGATGAAGAATTCTGTACTTCTGAGACAGCTGTAACCTCTGAGTCCCCTTCATATTTTCCATGTCCAACCACCTGGAAAAAAGTTACCAAAAAAGAAATTTGGCTCTAAGCGTCTATAATTTGGATCTCATTCAACGTTCATCTGCCCTGACAATTAATTACAGATATTTAAATGCAATTCGAACGACAATAATAATTAGAAATGTAGAAAATATCAACAGTAATGGAGGTAACCACCACATTAAAAGTTAGATTACAGAGCTCTTCTACCACACCCTCACTGGGCTCTCTGAGGTTACCAAAGTTTGGCCTTTCAGGAGTTGGCAACATGGAGCTGAGACACACTCACGTGTACGCTGAGCACTTTCTTCTTGTTGCTTCTGTGAGCTTGGAACCAGGTGACCAGGTCTGATTTTGTAACAGACTTCAGAGCTTCAATCTGAAACCCACAGGAATGAGGTTTAAGTAGCACAAGGGTGATTCAAGTAATTTTAAACATAAAAACAGTTTCTCTACAAACTATATCCCGTTAGATAAAAAGGTTCTTTTAAAATAGCATGTAGTTTTAGAATCGGGGTGTTACTAGTAGCATAAATCCCCCTATTTATGCTTTCCATTTAAAACTGCCGCAAAAAGCGACTTGTGAATGTTCCATTTGGCATCACTTAACAACAAGGAGGGACCACCAACCTCGCGGGCAAGCCTGTCAAAGAGATACTGCTGTGTCACAACTTCATTCCAGTTCCTGTCTACTTCTTCTCCAAGATGGGAGTCTTCACATTCTTTAAGTTTTATCAAAGCTGTAACCTACATTTGAAAAAGACAGAACAATTAGTTTCAAAGGGTTTAAAGCTACCTTAATTTACCATCACATTCACTGAAGTTGAAAGAAAACCCAAATTACGTTAACAAGGTAGTTCATTGCTTTCAAACTTAACTGTAAATGGCCAGAGAGCAAATGTTTAGAGAATGACTGCAGAATGGAGTAAAAGGCAGGATTTAAAAGTGATTCCAGAAAACCTCAGAAATATGCCAGATAGATATAACCAAATCCTCCAATTCGGGTGTCATTTAACAGTTCAAGGAAGAGCTTTTCAAGATCAAGTTTTACCTGGGTGCTAAAAGCATCTTCAGTTAAATGCCTGATTTTCTCTTCAAAGCAAGAAAGAAACTCCTCTATTTTCTTGTCAACCAATTCAGAACTAAAAGAAAGTTAAATAATTAAATCAGGCAGGAAGAAGGAAAATACCAAGACTGAGGGGTAAAGTAGTAGAACAGCCCCCAAATGACGAGGGAATGTTTGGGACAGGCTCACTTCTCTCCTCCCCCAAAAAGCTCACACATCTGTGAACACCAGTATCAGGGAATAGAACCAGTGCTCTCATTTTTAGGTATATTAAGGATTGTTCAAACACAGGAACTTGAGATAACCAAGAGGAGTCACTGCTGTGATGCTATCAGGGACCTGAGCTGTGGGGCACCCAGCAGCAGCGTGCGCTAGAGCGTGCTGCAGGAACCCCAACTGCAGTCCTGAGCCCCGCACAGGAATAGTTACGTACTATCGGATTAGAAAGAAAAAGAAATGTGATGTGATGGATTGTGAGGTTTCCGAAACATTAAAATCTTCACAGATGACACAGACCTCAGTAATGGAAGTGTCATCCAAATGTAAAAATTAGAGGCAGCAGTACTCTGTGCTAATTAAAGTTTCACTGACACAGTATTATTTTTCATAATTTGCATATTTTTCATATAACCCTTCAACTTTGGCAGGTCAAATGCCTGTAGTTAGCTCCAGCTTTGTACAAAACCATAATATTGTTCTGTCTGCTGAAACTGAGCCAGAAGAATGGCTATACGGGATTTACTTGGCAACAGATTTAGCTCTCCTGGCAGAATATCTTCAAAAGGGCAGTGGGATATTTTACTTACTCTTTGGATTACTTTTCCCTGTTAAAGTCAGGACTGCTGCAGTTTTAAGAAGCTTAAGGCTATTGCTTTATTTAGGTGTTGTTTTTCAGTCGCTACGTCGCAACTGTCAGCAGTGTCACAAGCTGAGGCCAGGACTACTTTTTTGACGTTCTCTTTGGGCTCTTACCTAACTCCCCTCATAGAATAAAAAAAAACCCTCCATGGCCTGAAACAGGTGTGAACTCTTAAATGAGAGCAGGTGCACAGAAGAGCTCAAGCACAAGCAAACAGAAGTCAGCTGTGACCTGATCTAACAGCACAAGTAGAAGACCAAGTGAAACTCTCTCAGTAATAATTCTTCAGCTGGATGTTGTGTAAATACACCACTTACCCAAAATACAACATGTAAACATGGTCACAGAGTTAGTTTGACACCTCACTATATCCCACATGAGGCTCAGATGTTCAGTGCCTGAATACATGCAAGGTCCACTGGCCACCTTGTTAAGCTTGACTTTTCTAAAACCAGTCGCCATAAGTTTCCTGTGCTGAAGTCCTTCTTATTCAGACAACAGCAGCAACAGCTGCCATTTACAGCACAACACAGCGAGGAACGGCCAGCTGATTGCTCGAGTCCCAGGCCAGCAGACCCATGAGACACCTTCTTGAGCAGAGCCAGTGTGCATCAGCCAGGCCCTGCTGCCCGAGCCTCTGCCGGGAGGACGTGGTGGACACGGTGCGGTAAGGTCACCAGAAACGGGCGCTGGCAGCTCAGGGGCAACTCCCGTGGCCCAAGCCTGGGAGTGGTGACGAACATCAACCACAGAGCACGCACTTACTTGTATTTAGTTGCCTGGGTTGCTACTGTGACCGAGAAGCCAAGAATCCCAGAAGTATTCCTGCAGGTAGGGTACACATGGTAGCTTAAAAAGACAAAAAAAAGGGGAAACAATAAAGTCATTCCACAAGCACAACTAAACTTTCAATTACAGGACATGCTACAAGTTAAAATAGTGTTGGCACTTTAGAAAGAAAAATCTCAGATATAGTTCTCAATAGTCGTCTTTATTTCCTGCATCACTGCACTTCAGTGTTTTCTCATTTTTAGGAAATCCCTTTAAGCTTGGCAGAGTATCTGTGCTTGTGTTCCTGCAAACTAATTCATCAGAGTGACAGACCTATAGCTGCAAAAAGCTTGTTCCAGTTTCCTGAGGTAGAAGTGTGCCTCCGAGGGAGGCTGCTACGCACCACAGAGCCGCTGTGAAAACAGCCCTGGGGAACGGGGAGCTGATTTAGGAAGTAGAAGGAACAACTTGATGCTGAATAATTCTGAGTTAACACACTGGCAATAGATGCAATTCTTATAGGACTCAAAAGCAACTTGGCTGCAGCTTGTATCAATGGCTGCCCTTGGTTTTGATGTGTTTATGTTGCCGTTTCCATTACAATAATTGAGGAATTAGCCACTGTGCTGGAAGGGTTTCCAGAGTAAAAATACTAGGGAACAGCAAAAGCAGGTGTGTAGGAGCTACCCTCTACCAGGAACTCACCCAAGGGTCTGCTTGGTTCTCAGGAAGTCAAAGCAAGGTTCCTCCATGTGCATCTGAAATGGAGCACAAATGCGTTACAGCAGAAGCGATGCTCTCTGCAGCCACCCCTTGGGCTCCGTACAGAAACGTGATCACAACATGTGCAAACAGCTGAAGTGCTGCCTTTCCAACTACACCCACTGAATTAAGAGAGGTCTCCATCTTCTGGGTCGGTAGCTAAGAGAACACTCTTCCATACTGTCCATCACTGCAGCAGTTTGGGGAACCTGTCCCAAACACTCCGAAGTTTAATCAGAGTGAGCAATAGATATATGCTGTCCCCTTTGTACCATTTAGCCCCGTGGCCTTATCTTGCCTCCAAGCACTGTTTTCAGGGAAGACACTTCGACGAGTTAGGAGAAACAAACACTAACTTACCACAAGCAGCTCCATAAGGGTATATTCCCTTAGGTTCCTGGCACCTGACTAGAAAGAAAATGAAGAATTTAGGGTGATTTTGTGGAGTTAAATGCTGTAGTTCAGACCAAGGTGACAGTTGTGGCCTACACCTCAGCCTGGACTGCAGTACTTAATTACAATTCACAACAGGGATGCCGGAAAGTTCTTGTTTTCCGCGGGGGCCTCAATAGGGCCTTCAGAAGAGAGGGGAGGGGCACAGCCCAGGACCATGAGATCAGCGGGGAGGACACCAGGAAACCACCAAGGCAGAAACCGAGCTACTAGCACTGGCACAGGCCAGGAGGGGAAGATGCCGATTTCAGGGAACGCCACACGCTGCGAGAGCCCACCTAGGTTTAGCCTCTCAGGCCAAGGGCGTGTGCTTACACGAGGTTTCAGTGCACTCTCTGTAACACCCCTGTCCAGAGACTCCTCTCAAGGCTGTGACATAAGTACAACCGTAGCACCAGCAGCTATCAGAGGGAATAGACCAGTACACACTAAGCTACCAAATTACCTGGTAATAGACTGTCACTTCAGAGTTGGCATCACCTTTGTTGAGAGTTTTCACCTTACAGAGCAGATGCACATTTGGCAAATCCACCACCCGGAACTGAACAGGGCAGGGATGGGCCAGAGGAGCGAACTGGAGCTTTCTGAAGGGAGCACAAACAGCAAAGTGTCAAACACCCACTCACATCTTAGCCAAAACCGATACAATGCCCAGGCATTTACATACTCGGTCTGACATTATTTTCCCCTTCCCCAAACCAGAACAATGGCCTGCTTGAACTGCCATGATGAACAGTCACCTCCCGCAAACACCAGCAGCACTGTATCCAGGAGGGGAGAAGGGAATTTCCGCATCGCTCCCACCCTGGCCCCTTCCTCCAGAAAAGAATCCTAACTTGATTATAGTTTCCACATAATGAGTGGTGCAAGAGTCAAGAGATACTCACTGAACAACATAATTCAGAAAATCCTTTGCTTCCTAGGAGAGAAAGCATAAACGTAAGTTTTATTTAGAAGAGAACTATCACCCCAATTCACAGCCACACACCGCAGCGCATCGCTTGAGAAAGTGACCCCCGGAGCAAAAAACAGTCGAGCTCTGTTGTGCCACCTACGTCCCTGCCCCCTCGCCTTATCCCAAGTCCCTTTGGACACTTCTGCACCAAGCTGCAAAGCAAACAGAGTCTCCAGGCAGTTTCTTGCACTGTAACTTCTCCAGAAGGAGAATGCAGAAGCCAGAGAAATAGCGTCAGCCATCACAACAGCAAAGGGTGCACATAGGAGGAGATAATGCCCCTCTCCTGTGCATCAAGTTGGAGCTCTGGGAAGGAGACTCTTGGGCTTAAGTGGAAGAAATGGAAGGAAGTAAGAGAAACAGTAAAACTGATGTAGGAGTTACAGGGTTGCACGTGCCACACTGTGAAAGGGGCTTAGCTCACATAGAGGCTGCAGCAATAAAAGCATTTTGAATGAAGGCTCTTAGCAAATCATGATTAGATTCTCAGACCTCCTTCTGTTCCACAGCTCAGGAGGGGACAGCTGACATTACAAGAATCTGACCTCCCAAAGGACATTAGCACGTTTTCTTTAGGAGGCTTTAAACAGTTTGAGGACAAACACCACCAGCTAAGACAAACTTCTTGATACAAATCATAATTGCAGAAGGTTTCTCTCCCAGGCCACACACAGGCACTCAACGACGCTGGATACATGGAGCTAAGCCCCATTACAACCTTATTTTAAAACGCCTGACAGGACTATGTGTGACCCAGTCCCGGGGTAGAAGACTTTGATGAATGCTGCAGGTGTTTAACAAGACTGAAGATGACTGGACCTCAGTGAGGTTTGATCAAACTATGCAGGCAATCATATTTCCAGGATAAACGTACTTTGAGGAAAGCCTCCCCCTGTGGCACCATCATGGCAATTTCGCAATATCAAATATATCAATACAGCAAACAATAAAAAAAACAGGAGCAGCAGGGGCAACAGGCTACAGGCATATTTCCACCACATTTTCCCCTCTCTGCAGTTTAAATCCAAATTCCTGAAAAAAACCCCTCTGTTCTGGCAACTACAGACTCCCCAGCGGCTTATGCAGACGAGCATTCCTGAGTTGTTAGAGGCGAAGCTGCCCTGTACCAGTGAGCCTTCAGATTGCCAGTACAGAAGAGGCAGTCAGGTGAGCGCTGGAGTTGTGGCAACTATGTTAAAGCACATTTTAAGAACAAGTTTCAGTGCGTGTCAGCTGCTGAAGCTGTACTCACTCTGCTTGTGAAGTTTCCTTGTACGAGACCCTCTACAAAGAGCTGTGATTTGAAAGCCTTAACAAAGGATGAGAGAGACTCAATGGAAAGGCCGTTCATCAGCGTCTGGTATTTATCTATCATGGACCACCTGCCGTGTTCTAAAATCAGGAGACGCACATCCCTGCAACGCAAGAAGGAAAACAAAACCACAGGCCATCAAGAGCTGTTTAATGTAAGAGATCCCATTTCTGACTCAGGATCATACTGGAGACAGGAAGATGGTGCCCAGGAGCACTGCTGTGGGCTGATCCTGCCCTCCCTCAGCACCTGCTGTTGGCTACAGGCCACTTCCGAACAGCAGTTACCTGGATGTCCAATCTGACCCACACGTTTGATACGCTGGTTGCAGAGCTGCTTGAGCTCTCTAAGCCAGAAGCTAACCCTGGAACAAGCCTTCATGAGCACAGAGCAGCGATTCCTGAGCTCTTCAGCTCAACCTCAACACTTACTGTGCCGCCACTTTTTGGCCTCCCCCAGAACTCACTTGGCCAGAGTCTCAGGTTTGATGAGGATGTTGAAGTACGTTTTCTTCAGCTGCTCTGTTATCATTTCAAAAACTGCTGGAGTAAAGCTGAAGTCAGACAAGTAATCAATGATGAGCTGAAATAGAAGCTGTAAAGAAAACAGTTTTAAGTCGGGTTTTGGTTTGCTTTTGGTTTTTTAAAGAACCAATTTAAACTTAATCCTATATAATAATAATTTAAAAAATCATCATTATTTGGTCAACATAAGAGATGTGCAGGGTTATTAAAGCACGTTCCTCAATTCTGTTAGATGTTCTTCACTAAACAATTCTATACCAAATTAGTCCGTTTCAAAAGGATTGCATTTTTAGAAAGTGACTGAAATAAGCTCAATATCCCAAATCAATAGGAGTTCCCACATTCTATTGAAACAAACCTAGCCTGTAACTCCAACATTTCTGTATTAGATATTCCAGTTTTTCCTCTCACAGCTGACCAGCACAATGACATCACAACAGAGCAACATTCATGATTAAAAAAGAATATTCAGACTGTGCTATTTGCACGTCTGGCTTTTTCTGTTAAACCTCACATTAATAAGCCTGACAGATGATTGACAGTCTTGTTAAAAGCTCCAGTCAAGCTCTTGCAATGAAAATCTAAGGAAGCTTGGCGGCTCTCTCCTCTTCGATCACCACGTCCTCTCTGTCTGTCCTTCACATGTCTTACACGGCCAGCGTTTACAGAATGGCAACAGGGATCCCCCGATCCTTGTAATGTAAGCTCTTAGCAATCCAACAAAGGAAAACTGCACCCAAAATGAGTATGTTCAGAAGCTGCATCTCCACAGTAGCTCTTTTGAAAGGAAAAGCTGCTAAAGTCTTAATGGAGATACAGTTATTAATTAAAGGAAGATTTCTCTTAAGTCAGCCTAGGGTCAGTAATTTGAGCTTCTTTAAGTGAATAAAACTACATCTTTATACACGTAAGCACATGAAAAAGCATTTGCTGCATTATCCTGTATCTGAACGGAGACACAAATTTTCCAATTTAAAATACCCCATCTAAACATTCAAAGCTCCAGCCAGCTCGGCTCCAGCTGCTAGGACAAAAAGCACTCACACTGAAAAGCAGCATGCATAAAAGTATTTAGAAGATCAGCAGTACTTACAGGTAGTTTATGATTGAATCCTTTCACTCGAATGACTAAGCCATGCTCCCCAGCTACTAGCTTGTATTCCAACTGAGCGACGTCCGCTTCATAAGCTGGTTCACCAAGATTGTGGGAAAGGATGTTTACAAATGTATCAAACAAAACTATGCTGGATGGAGAAAAGGGCAGAGGGTTAAAAAGAAAGAAAAAAAGGAAGGAATAGAAGAAGGATAAAAATCAAGCCCAGTGAGTTTGATGGTACACACAAGTAGTTCTCCAACAGAAGTGAATACTTGAGTAAAATGAGATTCACAAAGCAATTTTCAACAAACCTGGAAATACAGAAAGCAAGTTTCCCTTTGTCCAGAAAGCACACGACAGTACTTAACAATTATTTTAACATTCAACTATTCTTTGCAACGAATAAGATTCCAGCTTCACATAATTTAAGTTTTCTTCAAGGTAGGAATGCACATTGTAACATGCCAATGCTCAAAACATTGAATAATCACAGAAAATGAGATTATTACACTTTGTGTAAAGGAATGGGGGACAGATGGACTCAGTTATGCTGAAGACTTGAGTAATGAGATGACTATTTATCAAGATAAAAAAATAATAAGCTATAGCAAATCAGGCTACACAATGTGGAAATTGCAGTCATGCTTTCAGATTTTTGTTACTGCCTGGATTCCAATTCACATTCAAACTAACAAAGATGGAAACAGATTTCTAAAGGCTTTCCCAAAACATTACTTGTGCAGGTCTCAGCAGGCTTTTGATAAAAGCACTATGAAATCTGTTACAAATGGCAATGCTAGCCTAAGACTAGCAGAAGTACAGCACGTGCAGAGCTATAATCTTGAGGTCTGTCTAACGAAGAGTTGGTTTCTAAATGCTGTTGATAGTCTCTTCATCTGCTCCTATAGGCTCCCAAGTTGCTAGTTCAGGACATGACTGCGGACTGCTCTTTTCAGGACCGAGTCCTTCTCTAAGCACTTCCTTCTGGTATGTGCACTGCTGCTGTTATGTTATTTTTTCCAAAACTTGCACTGGGGAATAACATACCATGAAGCTCCTATGCATCTGTTTGCTACAGTAACAAACCTGCTGCAGAACCACCCTCGCCGAACACAGGTAAAACCACGAGGAAAGTGTAAGAACATGAGAAAAGGAAGCCTTATTCTATTCCAGTTTAAAATTAATCTCTCTTCATGGTTTTTCACTAGGTATGGTAATTTAGTTACTCTGCAAGATAAGCATAAATAATGTAATCCTTACTTCTCTGCAGACTGCTGTATCAATGGAGAGATCAGATGGAATCGAACATAACCTGGTGGGGAAAAAGAAACTAAAATGAGCAATTGTATAAAAAAGGACAGCTTTCTAAAGTCAAATATATTTCCATCAGGTTGTTCTTTGGTCACAATTTGAGTCTAATGAAAATGGTCATTCAGCTATAAGAATATATTTTTGCTTATATTAAGTCATCATCAAACACCTTCTCTTTTTTACTCCAAAATCTTCCCTTAAAAATACCAAATATTAGAAAACACAAAGCTGTGCTTTGCAGAATACTAACTCACAGGGTGTGACCAATAAAAATAAAAAAAGAAAACTCCACAAAACATCAGTTTAACACTAAATATTGTGACATTCTGCTTGAAAGCAACAATGTATTTTCCACATTTGTCTCAGATTCAGGCTATATTTTTCTCTTTCTGTAAAACAGACTACAGCCCTTTCTAATGAATGTGTTCCTTCATCTTCAAGACCTTGTCCAGTATCATATTCTTTCTGCCAAATTCTGTCTATAGTCAGAAGTCAGTATATTTCAGTGATTCCATTTTTTAACCCGAGGTATCAGCAGGGTTTCTTTGTTGCAAGGTAGTTTACCTGCTTCTCTTTTATTGTAGCTAATAAATATACCAAAAGGACCATGGCAGAGCTGACAGAAAACACTGAGTTTAAACGATGAACACGGTCACGGGTTATTTGCCTTCAAATAAATTCCAGCTGGTAAAAACAGGGACTTCCTATTCTTCAGAAAGTCCTAAGGCATTTACCTTTTGGGATTTTGAATTTATCATCCTTCCTGTACCAGAGACAGCCTTGTTGTGTGCTTAGTGTTTTGACTGGATATTCTGTCTCAGGGCAGTCAGCAACTTTCAAAGCAAAGTCAGTGGCTAACAAAAAGAAAAAACAAACCAAAACCAGAAGTTAGTAGGTTTCACAGACACAGCCAGGCTACATGCAGGAAAGTCTTCAAAATTATCCACAAAACACATTTTTCCCCTCCCAGTTTGCTAAATTACACATGATAATGCTTCCCTGGACCCAAAGAACATTTATTCTTCAGTTCCACACCAGAATAGCGGCTCAGAAGCAGTGCAGAAATGGTGATGTTGCATTCCATCCAGGATACAAGTTATGGGTTTATTTTCATTTGGTTTTGGCAACAAAGCCAGATGGTATTTAGATGCTTTCAAAAACAGCAGGATTAAGCAAATAAAATTGCTCTTCTCAGGTGTACGGAGTTGTGTGTTAACTCTCACTGATTGCATGAGGCCTGCTCTGTATGGCTATATGATCTGTAAGTCTACACCTTAGAAAAAGTCAGTTCTTATAAATAAAAGAATATTAAATAAAATTCAGGTGAACAGAGCTCCCATATTTTCTATCTTGCAAAACCAGGTTGATGTTCAGATGGAAATTAAAGATTGTTTCTAAACCACAGAAAATTCTCAATTAAATTATTGGGGGAAGATTTTACTCACGCTCAGGTGCCTTACCTATGTATTTGTTTTCTTCTGGAAGGTGTAAATCCTGATTTAGCTCAAAGTCACCAGCCCATAAATCACTCCAGTACTTGTCAATAGCTATCAAAAAACATGAAATGCATTTAGTTCAACAGGAAGGTAATGCTATCCTATTTCCTAGACCAGTCATCTCATGTCTTAGCTATCTCCACGAAGACTTGCAGTACAACAAGAGTTTCTTAATGTCACCTGGCTCATCATGAATCTTTCTAAATTCCTTCCTAAGAACTCCCCTAGAGCAGAACTGAAGCAGTCCTATTAAAAAGTAAATCAACCTTGCCTGCATTAGTAATCCAGCTACCAACACGCCCTGTCCTTCATTGTTTGTGTTCTTTTCCCTGTTCAGGACTTGAATGGCAGCCAAGCGGAGCGCTCGCTGGGATTCCCACCTCCTAAAACAATAGTAAACCAGGGAGTGGGAATCAACTGACACCAAACAAAGAAGAACAATTACTGAGTAGGACAGAGTATTTGACTAATCATGAGGTCAGTTTAGCACTGAGGATTCATTTCCCTACTTCCCTGTGGTTGTATTTTGTGTTGTCACCCTTTTAACATCTCTACTGCATAAATCAGACATTCTCTCTAAGTTTCTGCCGTTGTTTTACCTTCCACGCTGTATTGCGTTCCAAACCACCTCTCTTTTAGATGACACTGGCCTTCATTGGCAGCAGACAGCAAAACGAGGTTGGCTCTCTGAGGACTGAGCTGGTTAAGGGCATCAGCAATGATCTGTAAGTTCAAGACAATACTTCAGTTCAAATGCAACTCTGGCTCTGCCTGACCCCAGCAAAGACTTCTCAGTCTGAACATAGGAAGAACAAGACACAACAAGCTTACAAAAAAGCAATATGCTCTCTGAATATAAAAAGAGTGTTTCAATTAATACAAAACCTGTGCCTGTATTATGCCTAATTATAAATGCCTATATACGTGCCTATATTATACAGTATGCCCATATTTTCCTTACATCAAAACATGTAATCAGAGTTCAAAGAATATTTACCTCAGGCTTGTATTCAAACAAGAGCTGGTCTCCTGTCAGAAAATCCTCCTTCTGAAACAACTGCATGTTCTCACAAAGGCTTTCCACGTAGTCAACTGGATCTGTCTGTAAGCAAATAAATAAAGTTCTTTTTCACATAATCAGAAAACTAAAATATCAATTTTCTGTTCTGAGAAGAGCTTGACTGGTCAGGTATGTTGAGCATGAGTTGCATGCTGCGCTTGTTATGGCATTCAGTTTCAGTTATTAAACTAAATATATTTCATAACCATATCTAATGCTCAGAACTCCCCTGAGAATCCTGAAATATCAGAGATGTCTTTGTAGAGGAAACCTTGAGCATGCAGTTTACAGTCATTAAACCTACCAGGTTAAAGACCCAGTAGAAGGCACTCCTTGCCTCCAGGGAACACAAGCAGAGTTCTGCAATTCAAGATTTAAAGTGATCTGGAACCTGGAAAGAGCAAGCCAAGGAACTGCTGCTGCTGCATGAGTATCTCTGATTCTGCTCCTTTCCTAAGTTCTCTGCCATGATGTACAGCACGAGGAGGAAGAGATTCTCCCATTCGGACATGAAAGTATAGATTGCCTTTTAATGGTGTAAGACTGCCTAGTGGAGAGCTTATTGCTGAGTGCTTTGGGGTTTTTTTGAACCAGCCAGCACCATACTGTAAAGATTCTGGGTCCAGATACAGACCACAGGTCGCCTGAAAAGAGGTGAGTTTGACACATCTGTGTCTTATAAATGTAGTGGAAAACATGACCATGAATTTCTTAAGACACTGTACACATGAGGAAACATTAAACCTCTCCTGGGGCACATAACTGCTTATCCCAAAACCATGCCTCTGTGACCATTATTCTTTAGGGTGGCCACGTACCAGCTCTTTCCAACAACCAGAAGAGTGGGGTGCCATGACTAAGTCATTCATCTGTCCCTCAGATGCACAAAAGCATCTGTCACAAAAGCACATGCATACCTCTGTTCCTTGCTTTCTGAGTTAAATCCCTGCATTGTCAGTAACCTCTTAATGATCACTCAAAATCAACTGGCCAAAAAGGCAGAACTCTTAGCAGTAGGTATCTCCCTAGTGTAAACTCGAGTGTTTTCTATCCCCGCCTGGCTTGATATTGGGAAGTACATAGTCTATTAGAGCAGTAACAGTTTTGGGGAACATAAAATTCTAGCTGGGAGTACTAAAAAGAACCAAGAAGATTAGTAAGAACTTTCAGGACTAAATAGCTTCATTTTGATGAAAAAGTCAAACTTCAAACTGGACAACCTCTGTTGGCAGTGATTAAAGACAGAATCATAAAACTGTACGTAGGGCAACAAACATTCATTCCTGTTATGTCCAATATACTAAATAGCCATCTGTCACAGATTTTTAGTTCTTCTCTACTGTTCTGGGGAAAGCTTTTGTTAGAAGACAGTCTGTTGTAATCTTGTAATAGTTGAACTTTGCTAACAAATTCATAATGTACTCCACTAAAAAAACCACATCACATGGCATTTAAAAAAAGGCATTTGTAAATCAGTGTAAACTTGTTCCTACCAAAGAAATCCACCGCTCTGTTATCTGTCATTTGGGGTTGTTGGCAGCAGTCCTTGCTGTCTGTATCACTTGCAAATACCACTTCTGCTATTCAAAGGCCACTCAAGACACTCAATATCCTCCATATGCTATTTTGAAGGCAGAGCTACAGATGCAAGGATTTGCTAAAAATGACATTTCTAACATCCTCATGCTCACAGCAGACTGGCGGATCTTAAGAGTGTCTGAAAATACTTGGAGCATCTGGAAAGAAAAAACCTCCAATTTCAAGATTTCCTATTCTTTTTTTTTTTCTTCTCCTTCCTGCATCTGTGTACCTTAAAGAAACCAACAAACTGCAGTGATGCTTTCAAGCCATATACGTAGTATATGAATCTGTTTTCCCAAAAGGAAATTTCAGTGCCATTCAAAAAAACCAAGTTACCTAGTAAGAAACAGAACATGACTAAATGTAGTGACAGTAGGAAAGTCAATGAAGTGAGGCTTCTCAAATTATCTAAATTGTGTTCCCTTCTTTTTCTTTATCTTTAATAAAAACAAGAAAGATTTTTGCTAAGTGCTATTTCAGTAAGCCAAGGAAGACTTGACACAAAACCACATTTAACTGTGTAATGTTGTAACAGCAGACAAGGGGGTCATCAGCACCCCAGCCTTTGTGGGGCCAGGTCACCAGCAAGCCACACCTTTCACAAAACACTGCTTTTCTATTCCCAGAAATCAGCAGTGCCAAAACAGCTTAAAAAAAGTGAAATGAGGCAAAAATATTGAAAAGCCCCAAACAATTTGCAGAGCACTATTAATGGGCACAGACCTTCACACACAAGGGCCTAATGTTTAAAACTGGAAAAGAGCCTACCCAGCAGGTAGAGAATGAAAAAAGTAACATTTAATCCTGTTAAGGAAAAAGTCACAGTATTTCTCTGTCTAGGATACAAATTCTTTCAGCAAAATACAGCCTCATAATCTATTTCTGGTTAAACAGAACTTTGAAAATGTGTTTCAAAATTAAAAAGACATCCTTTTTATGGTTTACCTATATCAACACAAAACATGGATGAATACCTGTTCCTGATAGTGGAATTCATTAGCTTCAATCTTCTGTATTTCTTCCCATATTCTGTAAAGAAGAGAATAAAAGTGGATTTCCTCCATTATTCCGCAACATTTATTGAGAATCTGGAAAAAAGCAGTCTTCTAGGAAAGGCATCAAGGGCGAGTTCAGTGATTCATTCAGGTACAAGACACAGAAGCCAGTATTACATGCACTTCCCTTCCATCCAAAAGGGCATTTCTCAACTGGCAGAAAGTTCTGCTATTTTCCAAAGAGGAAGAGACTTAACCACAAAGAAGCAAAATCTGATACCAAATGAACATGAAGGCTAACACCAGAACACCACAGTCCTGAATTCCACAGATTTGGCTCAACAAATTTATTTAAATAAACACAAAACTGCACCTAACATCTACACTAGTTCAGCTTATTAAAATTAGAAATCGGATCACAGTAAATCAAACTAAAAGCATCAAGAAACAAGCATAAACATTTAGCAAATTCATTTTTAGACTTTTTTAAACGTTTCCCACACAGACAAGCTTTACTACTGACTCACCGTTTATCCTCTAGTAACTCCACAAAAAGTGCAAACACTACAAATAAAAGGCTAATGGAGAAGGACAATCTCGCAAATATCTGATGTAGTGGCAAACACTTGCCTTTTATCTGGCCCTCTTTGCTGCAGCATCTTCACATACTGAAATACAACATGGGCCACCTGCAGACAGAAAGGAACAGATTAATTTTTCCTGACATTAGGAAAACAGTAAGAAAATCAAGTTGCAGTAAACCACACCTCATAGAAGTGCTTGTAACCTTCATCAGTCAAAGTCACAGAAATGCTGAAGATGGAGTAAGTGGAGTTCTGTTCAAATCCTGTCTCACCATTTCCTCCATATAATGCAAGAGCCCAAAATCTATGGAAGAGTTAAAGGTACTTATTAATTATTCATTTCAGCTTTATTTGAGCTTAGTTACAATTAGCATATCATAGCTTTACTTCAATGGCATTCAATTTGTTTACAGTTTACACAAAGCTTTTCCGACATAAAGATGTGAACCTCAGGATACAGAATTTAAGAAAAACAGTGAAAAAGCTAAGTTACCTTTTCGAGATCTCTTAACGATCAGTCACACATACTGCTGATCCATGGATCACAGACCAAAACCCACTTATTTCTTACTTAGGTCTATCATCAGTTTAAAGAATATCACTACAAAATGCTGATACAAAAAGGCAGACTTGGCCTGCTTTTATAAATGTAGAAAATATATATACACAAAACAGAGTTTGCCTTTATTTTAATGATAGCAAAGCATTTAGTAACTATGCTTAAAAAATACATACTTTTTCCTAAGGAAAGAAAGAACACTGCCTTTGCCTTCATGTCCCACCAACCAGGAAATATAATGAAGAGGCTTCACCCTAAAAGAAAATTTGAAGGAGATTAAATGCCGGGAGGTAACACATTTCACAGAAAGAACTCAAATCACTAGACAAATGACTAAAATGTACACTGTCTGTTTCTTCATGGCAAGTTTTGCATTTTCAGGCAGCATTAGGATAATAAGCTAAAAACGTGGGAGTTCAGAACATAATGACTGATCTGAGTCAGTGAGGAATGACATTGAATCAGCTGTGTACCAATTCCACTCAATTTATAAAAGGAACCATATCTGCATCAGTTTAATTCATTTAAAAAATGTTCCTCTAGCTGAACCAAAGTAACCTGTAACACAGATAAATGAGATTCTTTGGTTTGTTGCGAAAGTCAATAAATTATTCACAACATAAACATGGTAGAAGTAAAATGCAGCACCACCGTACCTGTAATATTGTTCCTGTGGGGGAAGCGCCCAAGTGATACTCAATGAATGAACTTTCCTGATTGGAACAACTGAACACAAATAAATTTATTGAATATATATATAATATACACACACATGATCAGACATAGATAAGAAATTTTACAAAATGCAGAAAGAATGGTTAAAAGTTATTCAGAACTACACAGAATTATTCTACAAAGTATCCGGATCACACAGAGAAAATATGAAGCTAGGTAGTCAAAACATTTAAACAAATCTATTTTACTTACCTCTGTAAAGCTTGTGAAATTCTGGTGTGTCAAAAGGCTGAGTCAGATGGCCAAAGCTGGGTTTGGGTAAACCACTTAAAAGCAAAATCGAAGTGATGTTACTGGCAAGGATTCAAGGCTACACTGAGATAATCACAAGACATACGCATCCATAGGTCTGACATGACAGAGGCGGTACGCCAGACAACCAGAAAACGGCCCTTAACAAAGGGTGCAGCCCAGGATCCACCCAGTCAAAGTGGAAGGCAACCTGGGATTCGCTTGCACTCTGCCCACACAACAGAGTAATTACCCAAGATTTAGATACCACATCAACTCCTCCCTCTCCTTCTGTCCAAGGCGGTAATAATAAAAAGCTTGCTTTTGCAAGAGGGGCAAGGAAAGCCAAGCACAGTAAACAACTTCCTGAGTTGGCCCTGGATTCACAGAATCCTGATGGATTGTCTTGTGGGGAAGGAGGAATGAGAAGGATGGGGGTCGGGAGAGACAAATGTGTCTCTGTATGGCATTAGACTTTCACAAGCACATTTCCATCCACCACAGAAATAAACACCTTGCAAAAGCAGAAAATGAAAGGGGAAATAAAATGCTTTTCAAGTTACTAAAGCTTTTGCAGAACCCCCTTTTTAGACAGCACACTGGAGTGAATTATTAAAAAAAAGATCAAGTTCTAACCAGCTGCCACCCTAAGGATGACACTTAAATTCAAGATATGGTCTTAATTTATTTTGCTGCTAATTATTTTTGACAAAAAGCAAAGATAAGAAATGTAAAATGACAATCTAGGTTTGAATGACTTATCATAAAATCAAGGTATCAGTACATATTAAGCAAACACTGCTGCAAGTTAGCACCACACAGCTGGCAGGCTAAATAGTTGTTAAGCATAAACAAAGTCTTCCTGAAACAATTAATACCAGTCTTTAATTTCCAAAGTTGCCCATTTTTTTTTCTGGAGAGGGATGTTAATTAACAAATGTTAATTTTCTTAGCTTCTCCAGTAAGGGATGTTTTTCAAAAATGGTCATTTTCAGAACAGATAATTTTATAATTTGTATGTCTTTATGGATCAAAAGAATCTTACTTATTTGGGATCTCAGAGAAGATTTCTGTCACCCACTTTTCCAATGTATCCAGTGTTTCTAATAAGGAGAGGAAAAAAAAAGCCAGAATGTAATTTCCTGAAGATCTAAGACAAATTCTTTATCTTATCTCATCAGTTCAGTTATTTTAAAGAGGCTGGAAGTCTTAAATTTCAAAATTGCAAAGTTCTAAATTATAAGCTTCAAAGCTGTTGGTTTGAGGCAATTCTTAATATTCACGGAACTGTATCTTTGGTCATAGCTCTGGTTTTGTATATACTGCTGAAATCTCAAGCTGATACAACTGGGATTTAAAATTCAGCAGTATCTGGTGTGACTGTGAAAAGGAATTACCAACTTAGGGATCCACAAAATCACCCATACTTGCTAGACTCATTCCATCCCTCTATGTCCAGAACATACGCAGCATTTTTCACACCTAAACACACCTACAGCACTAAGAATTCCTTCTCCCCATCCCCTTTCCTAAAGGAAATGTGTCAAGAACCAGAAGTTTAATTTTTTTAAAATGACCGATCAGAGATTGCTTGTTTAAGCAAGCATTCTGTATTCCAAAAGTGATGCGGTGTATGCTAAACAACAACAAAAATGGGGGGGCGGGGAGGGGGCAGGACTCACAGTTTCTTTTGTTTTAACAGAGAGAGAAATACAAAGTTGACCTGGCTGGCTGTCAGTCCCCATGCTTTTCTTCCCAATCACCAAAAGAAACGACATTACAATCTGTCGCTACATAAACGATTATTCAAGAGGCATTCAATGCCCTAAGAATTTTATAGTCTAGACAGAAAAGCAAAGCATAGGAGAAGAAAAGAATTACTACCTCTATTATTACCATCTCGATTTTACAGATGGGAATTGCAATCAGTTTTAGCATTCAAGAAAACCCTTAAGCACAAATCTAACTTGAATGCACACAACTATTTTCAGCACAGGTCTCTACCACATGCCTAACTTCTAAGAAATTTCTTTCTTTCATTCTCAGCAGAAACAACCCATAGGTCTGAAGTTCTTTGCTGAAATGAAATTCAATTCCATTTGCAGAGAATTTTTCAGCCTACGGGAAAAAACCTTAGAATCTCTATTCTTCCTAGAGAAATGTGTTTTATTTTAAGACCTCTTTTGAAAGAGCCCCAAACAGAACAAGACTGGGAGACCCAGTCTCAGTCTCCCCATCATTTTCTGTGGAGGTTCGCTGTTGATGGCAGAGAAACCAGCAGCATTAAGTTATTCAGGTGGTCTGACTCTACATTCCTACAAGATTCTTTTTTAAATATATCTTTGAGATTTTACATTCTGAGTTAACCTGGAACCTATTCAACAGTTTCAGTGAAAAGTTTCTCAAGAAGTGGCAGGATGACAATAACCCAGCACAATTGCTCAAGTTTCATTTAGCACAGGCTAAAATCTACATATAAATACCTCCTGCAGGACTGGACGATCCACTAAAATGGCTTGGGCTACAGCTGAATTGGTGCCAAAAGCACTACACCAACAGCAGCAATGAGCCTGTTTTTAAGGAACAACTGATGTTACCTTTAGATTGGACAACTAAAGTCATATAGTGAGCAGAGTAATGGCGCTGCCAGAAGTCCCTCAGTCTGGTGTAGGTATCGATATTATTCATTTTAGGCCCATGTTTGAGTGTATCCGCATTACCTGTAAACATTAAAAGGTGGTTAGTTATCTAGACAGTGATTACGTCAAGACCAGATATACCGAGAATTTCTTTTCCTCCCCTGGCACTGAGTCTAGTCATGGTAGGTACATTAAAAATACCTACTAGAAATCTGGAGTTAAGGGAATGTTAACTGAAATTTAGTATCTTCCAATTTCTAGTTCCTATTATAAGGACAGTTGATATTTCTATGACAAGGGAGGACAGAGTCCTCTGCATTATCAGAGCACCCATACCATGTACTGCACAGCTCATTGTGTGTTGCCAGCTATTCCCTCACCAATGGAACTTGCAGAACAGGGGAGGGAAAAAGAAGGGAAAATATGATGTTCACTCTATGTGACTACAGAACTTTATAAAAATTATCTACATTTCAAAGCTGGTTAATTCTATTACCCAGCACACTGCAATGTACATGCTCATCAGCATCACAAGGGTGAGGGAGCTAGGACTCTGTATTGTCCAGGAGAGGAAGGACAAATTTCCCTTCTGCTCCACTCACATGGCTGTGAAGGTCTACTTCTGCAAGTTCAACAGTTGAATTATTTACTTTGAAAAGCCTCCTTAGACACAAATCCAGAAATACTTATTTTTCCAGGAAACGTTAATAGCAAAAAACAAGCTTAAGCAAGACAGAGATGACTCAGGGAGCACCACCTTTACACTAATAGAAAGTTACATGATTCTACACCTAGGGCAACCTAGCTTTAACATCAGCAAAAAGCAGCATCAGAATGAAAAGTATCTTAAGAAGCAGGCAGCTGCTTTTATTCCCAAACTGTAAAATTACTCATTTTACTGTAAAATGAGTAATTGCTCTAATACTTCTGAGCAAGGCTAGTGTTTGCTGTGATAAGACAGCTCAAGTTAGTGCATCTTTTAAGTGGTTAAAAGTTTAAGTATTATCACCACTTTATAACATAAATTCAGAACTTACCCCAAAAAAATTTCTTCATAGGATGTCCAGGCCTGGCAAGACTCCCAAACAGCATCTCTTTTCTGTTTGCATCAGAGGGTCTTGCTAGCTGATACTCTGTTAATTTAAAGAATTTGCAGTGGCATGCATCAAAATTTGAGGTCATGTTCCCGCAAAACAAGCAAAAACCCCAACCAAACTGAAAAGGAGACACATCACACAGATGCAGCCTGGAATAGTTTTGTTTTAATGTATGATGAAGTAGTGAAATAGGATAAGAAACAGGACTTGCTAGCAGCAATGAATATAAGTCAAGAGAAGAAGAAAAACGTAGCTCATTGCTGAGAAGTAAAGAAAGGGACAAGGAGGGGAAGTATGTAAAGCCCCAGCCTATCCCGTCTGAATGCTCTCAATCTGTGAAATTTAATGGGAACACAAGGCCATCAATATTCTAGAGTCAGGCCCTGCAGAAAGGGCCAAAGAACAATTACAAACCTGCTTCTTCCATGTATCACACTGAACAACTTCTAGCCTAATAATGAAATAAGAAATTGAAAGCTGAGCAAGATAGTTTCCAAAAAAGCAGTTTTACAATCAGTTTACACTAACTAAATACGGGATTCTGCCAAAATCAAGAATTCACCCTCTTGAACTGCATTTTCCTTTTCCTGTTTTTGCTGGTAACAAGAAACATACACAGCAGAGCTGGCTGGGTTATTCTGCAGCCAGTTCAACAAGCTGAGATAATTTACTGGACAGTGCATTACTACAGTGTCAACAGAAGGGAAGGAGTGGATCTGCATCATGAAAGCAGTGCAAGTGAAGGCGTAAATTGGCTTGAGCTGTTGAAGAACCACACTGTGACTCGAAGACAGGTCCTTGTTTACATTGACACTTATCTAAATTCAAAGATCAAATTGCCCATTTTTCCTTGCCAGAAGACAGATGAAGACGATGACTCGGAATAAGTATTTGAACCAGTTGGTATATCTGCCAATAACAGTTTTTTTCTAAAACAGTGAAGTTTTATAGGCAGTCTGGAGATATTCATTACATCTTAGAAAATCAAGTGAACACTCCACTCACCTCTACATCTGGTTCAATTTCCTTCTGCGAAGCAACTTTGTAATTATTAAGGCATTAGAATAAGGAGACAAGTACAAACACCTCAACTTACTGTATTAACTCCACATAGGAGTGGAGAGAGCACTGGGGCTATGCTGGAGCTATAGGCATGTTGTTCACTGAAGAGCATCCACATGCTCATGTAGTTGCCATACCAGTTACTGCCAAACCACTTGAAATTATTAATTTCTAATTCAAGAAATGAGATGGTAAAATCTCGCAGCGGTGCACCACATTCAGTCTTTCTCCTCCAACAGCCATTGATATCCATGAAACTTAAATAGAAGAGTTTAACCTCCCTGTCAAGTTAAGTGAACTTGACTGAAGTGCTCAGAAAGGCAGCCCAAAATGGAAACCAATAAAAAGTGTTACAAAATAGGTTTTGTTTCTTTAAGAATCATAGAATCATTAAGGTTGG